CCTGACTTTGCTTAGCCCAAGTGCTAAAGCTCAGGGGAGTGATGTGTGGGGATTCCATTGAGCATGCCCTTTCATCCTCCCTTCCCCCAGGCTCAGTGTGGAAACACATCCTTGCCCCTTGGATGAAGGATGCAGAGGGAAGCCATCAGAGGTGACCTGGCAAGACGCTCGCTTTTTTACTAGGGGGATAGTTCCATTCTTGAGATACTAGTTGCAGAACTTTAAGGCTACTGTTCACCTATGAGAAAGTACCTCTGAAATGGTATTCCCTATCTGCCAATGAGTATGTTTTCCTAGTAAAACAATCCATTGGAAACCCTGCTTCACAGCGTCATACTCATGTCCACTTTTCAATGTCTTTTTCAAGTGACCCCCTCCACAGCAGCCCCTCTGCCACCCCCCACCATGGTCCACCCTCCCACTCTGAGCTGTGCTGGCGAGGCACTGAGATGGGGAGGGTTGTGACGGGAAAGGGCAAGCAAGGCAGGACACAGGCAAACAGGGATCGTGACTTTCCTCTTTTATTATGTGTCCACTGAGCTGTCCTGTTTCTGTTTTGTAATGGGTTCTTCCATGGCAAGCTGACCTTTTGGCTGAATAGGTCAAGCTCCTCCGGAGTGCTCATCCTCAGTCTTGCTCACGTTCCCCTCTCCCCTGAGGTGAGGCGCGCTGGTTAGGAACACGACTGGGAGTGAGTGGTGTATGTCCTGAAGGGCGGTTGTCTTACACTGCACTGAGTTAATGCCCAAAGACCACCGTGTGAGGTTATGCTGAAGAGTCCAGATTAGAACATTTTTGTTGACATTGTTGAGATGCAGAACTAATTTTTCAGATACTTGTTTCAGACTGGGGTTTTTCTGTGTCTTCCACTTTTTAATACAAGGCCAAATGAACAGTCCTAATGATTCATCATATCATTTTGGATTTCTGGAAAAGAATCAGAATTTCTGTAGTTGACATTTATAAAATCAAAAACCCTTTTCTGTATGATATGTATTTAATTTAAAGTCTCTTAAAACTCTACATGTTTTATTTCTAACCCTTGTAAAACATGAGATAGTAGGGTTGCGGTGTTTATTGATAATTATATGCTGGGCCTGATTTTATTTTAAATTGCTTAAAATTTTCAACTGTTTATAGGCTTCATAACACCAATTACCTTATAATAGTTAGAGGTTTTCAGCATCAATAGGCACTCAGTAAATGTTGAATCAAATTTTAAATTTGAATTACTATAGTTGATTTTTTTTTTCTTATATCAGTTTGTATAAGCTGTTCAACTTACACAGTTCTCACATGTCACCGTCAGAGCTAGTGGCATAATTGTCCTAGACAAGGGATTACACATTCCATTTATTTAGCAATGTCTCTGTGTGTGTTGTGTGTATAGGAGGGTACTTCAAAAAGTTCATGGAAAAATAGAATTGAAAGATAATATGAATCTTTCCATGAACTTTTTGAAGTACCCTCCTATACACACAACACACACAGAGACATTGCTAAATAAATGGAATGTGTAATCCCTTGTCTAGGACAATTATGCCACTAGCTCTGACGGTGACATGTGAGAACTGTGTAAGTTGAACAGCTTATACAAACTGATATAAGAAAAAAAAAATCAACTATAGTAATTCAAATTTAAAATTTGATTCAACATTTACTGAGTGCCTATTGATGCTGAAAACCTCTAACTATTATAAGGTAATTGGTGTTATGAAGCCTATAAACAGTTGAAAATTTTAAGCAATTTAAAATAAAATCAGGCCCAGCATATAATTATCAATAAACACCGCAACCCTACTATCTCATGTTTTACAAGGGTTAGAAATAAAACATGTAGAGTTTTAAGAGACTTTAAATTAAATACATATCATAGATCAGATGAAACAGGGACCTTGCGGCAACAATAAGTGTACATCGTGTCTGGGCTACTGAATGGTTTCAGAAACAATGCATTACTTTTCTGAGGACAATGTACCTCATTGAGGAAATGCCCCTTTAGTTTTTCTTTAGAAATTAATAAGACTTTTTAAACACAAAGAGATTAACATGGAGAAACAAAATAACTGTGTTGGCATTATTCCTGAGTTATCAGATGATTGTCTCAATTCTCAAAATGCCAAATGTGATAGAATTGCAAGATAAGAAGTACATATTTAATGTCTATTCAGTTACCAATAATGCTAGAGTTAAAGCTGGGCTCCTACCGGGGCATAATGGACTCCTGTTTAACATATTTATGTTGGTTGTAAAATTAGGAACTGTCATTACAGCCCCACATCACCTGCATAAGTGCAAAACATATAAATCAAGAGAAGTTCTAGTGCCATAAAAATGCCATTGAATAGGTTATCATGAAACTACTTACAGGATACTTGTGTATTATGCTAACACGTATGGGGTGCACAATCAGATTTCTAGAGGATTTGAAGAACAAAGAATAACTATGCAGGTAGAACTCATGGATGTAAGACCCGATGAAGACGTTTATTTAGAGAAAAGCCTGAGCCCTAGTGGGGGAAAGGCAGGAAAACAAAGGCCATCAATAGCCTGGCTTGAATAAGCCCTGTGCACCGCACTGAAGACAAACTGCCTCTATGCTTCTAGAAGGCATTCGAGCTGCCATCTGTCCTTACTGGAGCTGGCCTCTCGGGCCTTCTAGTGAATAAACACTCTCCTTACATTTCCTATGGTATTTTAATATCCTCTCTAGCTGGTGGATGTTGCTCTTTTGGCCTCCTCTTCATCCAGTTCTTTGTAGAATAGTCCATATTCTATAAAATTAGTTTTCTTTTATGAGTGGTTTATTTTGAAATTTGTAATTGGAATCCCTGAATTACCTCCTAAATTATAAAGTATTAATAAGAAGCTTTCAAACCCTAATTATTGCCTCAAAAACAGAGTGGACACTTTTAGAAGTTTTTCAACTCCCCCTGTCCTTTCCAAAAGGCACCTACCCCCATAATCTTTAAAAATAAAAAAGGCTGCAGATTTTATTCATGGGGGATCATTCACACCAAGCTACCATAATGTGCAATTAACACTCTAGAAACTGAAAACAGTATTCATCAAGACAGCTGCATTATCAAAAATGCCAAAGGAGTTTTGAAGGGAGTAATGGGCATGTTAGAATAGGAAATTAATCAGAAACTCTCTCTCTCTCTCTCTCTCTCTCTCTCTCTCTCTCTCTCTCTCTCTCTCTCTCACACACACACACACACACACACACACACGCACGCACACGCACACACGCACACAGTAGTACTGGCTTAAGTATATCTGAATACTAAAATTTTAAAAATTCTATGTTTATACTTATAATAAAAATTAATCTCAGGACACATAACTGATTTTTTCTGTTTTAAGGTTATTAGTGTATGTTTTGCTTCTGAAGCAAATGAGGAGGTTGGAGTAGAGATCTCTAGGATCACTTCTAGCTGGAATATTCATTGGTAATAACCACTCTTCAATTATATTTAATAAATTTTCCCATTTAAAAAATGCCCCTTTTATTTTCCTCTTGCCAGTAATAATGATAATTAACACTCAGGTTATTTTCAAAGTGCCTTTCAGACATTGCAGACACTAAATTACAATTGCAGGGGTAAACTCCCTAATTTTGTACAGCACAATAATCATAACTGCATTTATATTGTAATCCCTACTAAACTATGGATCCAACTGACTGACTTAGTAACTTAAACAAAACAGAATTATCCCAGCAGTATTTTGCTGGGATTTTCTTGTCAAGTAGCTCAAAGTGTTTTAGAAGTAAGAAAGTAAGGGATTTTGATTTTATATTCAATTAATAGTATGTAGGCTTGCGAGAGCAGAAATTTATAATAATATTTTCAAGAAAAGCAGGAAGACATAAGGAATTTATTTGTTGGAAGCATAGAAAAGATCTGAATATTTTCCTTTATAAATGTCTGTAAAGCTAACAGATGTTTATGATGCTTGAGAACTAAAAAAAAGAAAAATAGAGAAAATACCCAGAACAGGTTTAAAAGCAAATTGGTATTCCATGTAAAAAAAAAAATTGTAAAGAGATGACCCTCAGTTCTGTATTCTACAATATCATGCATTAAGACCACTTTTGTGAAGGATTACAGCGGCTCTTTGAGTGGCAGGTGCCTGCAGGCAAAGCATGTGGGGTGTGCCAGGAAGAGGACAGACCTCAAGTAAGCAGGAGAACAGGAGTACTGAAGACCTCCAGATAAGAAACAGTCACTGACCTGGTCAGACATGCTGGCTAAGGGTCCACCTGGGCTTCTTGCTGGTCCTGTAGGAATACTTACATGTGACTATTCAGTAAATATGAAATCTAGCCATCTTGGGACATTTAACATTAGTGCAAATTGTCATTAATGTGTATCTCTTATCTGATACGTTGTGCCTATTAAATTGTGATAAAGTTATTACATTAAAAAATACAAAAAGTTTGCTGTTTGCTTTTTTCTAGCCTAGAGGATATGAAAAGTTTAGGCTTCTCTGGGGGGATAAGGCAGTATATAAATGCTTGAAAAATGTTAGTTGCGGCTGGCCAGTTAGCTTAGTTTGTTAGAGCACAGCCTTATAACGCCAAGGTCCCGGATTCAGATCTGCATACCAGCCAGCCACCAGGAAAAAAAAAGAAAAATGTCAATACCTTAATTTAAAGAAAAACAGTGTACTAATTTAAAGGAATTGGAATGTTCATATGTTTTTACTCCAGTATAAGAAAAACAAACCAAAAAGAAAAAATGTTTCTTAAAGTCTGAATGGTTTTTTTTTATGTTTTTAGAAGTTGGTTCTCTGAGTTGAAAATTCAACCTAGGCTGTATTCATACTCAGACAACTCAGAACCAAAATTTATACTGGATGATGTTTCTTTCAGATCTCATTGCTACAATAACTAGGTAGTCATGCAATTAGGAAGAAATTAAGCTGCAGGTATGAAATCAGAGCTCCAACTTAATTTTTCTTTTTTCTTTCCTTTCTTTCTATCTTTTTTTTTTAAGTTATAGGTGCACAACGAAGGAGAAGCCCCAGTGCACTAGCCATTGAAGTATTTGAAGCACATTTGGGAAGCCACATTTTGCAGGTACCTTTAAAAGAAAAAGAAGCTTGCTTACATTTTAGCAAAAAAAAAAATTCCACACATTTAGTCTTTTTTATAAATGTTTTCTATTTCAGCTATGAATTTGACTGTTGTTATTTTATCTTGGAATTCTGAAATTCTTATGCATTTATTTTTTTTTCTTTTTAGAAAGCCATCCCTTGAGAGAATATTAATGAGAAAGGGAGGGCAAGTATTATTTGTGCTGTAATAATTTAGATGAATTGCTCTATTTAGTTGATGCGCAATGTATAGTTAGCTGGCTGTTCCCAGAATGACAGTGTGCGTGCTGTATTTGTAAGTGAATATCTGTGTGTGTCTTTAGAGCTACCTATTGTTTTTGGAAGAGCAAAGTTTTGTTGTGAAAGTACTGTGACATTTTTATGTGTTGCCAAATTTCAGTTCTTTGCTTGAGTGTGTATTTGTAAGTGCTTTCAATCTTGATGTTTGCCTCCGCAAATTAGAAAATTTCTCAGGGTAAAATTTTAAAGTATATTTTTAAGTAAAAGGAGACAAAAAATAATAATTAACTTTTCCAGTGAATTGCATGACAAATAAATATGAAGGTTACTAGGGTGGAATTCTAGTTACTTAGCCCTAGAGAAGATTTATCCCAAACTCAGCATCTCACTTACTCACTTTTTTCTTAAGACTTCACTGTCAATTCAACACATCTGCTTTCAACTATGGTTATTGTTTTACATTGTTCCTGTTTTCAGGGTAAATGTTGCCATGGCCCATTTTTTTTTTTTTTAACTATGGAAGATACATTTTTTCTTACATAGAAGTAGAGAACCAGAAAAGTTTGGGATATTTAGGCAGCTTATTTTGGAAAGGGTGGTATGTTTTTCTTAGATTAACTTTGGGGTAAAGTAAAGGGAAACTTCAGATTCATGTCCATTCAGAATTTTTTTTTTTAAAGGCCTCTATGGAGCTTTTATTTCTAGGTAGTCAAAAGTAGTATTGAATCTAGCATATTATTCCCTAAAGTATGTTCACTAGGAGAGTGTTTTCACTAGGAAAGTATTGCAAGACTCTCCATGAAAAAATTAGCTCAGGGTCAGATCCTAATTGTTCTCCAAACAGTTCCTTTGCTGGAAGTTTGAGAATCACCCAATACTTGTTTAAAGGATGAATTCTTGGGACCCAACCCAACCTACTGAATCAGTTTACAGGGTAAGGTTCAGCAATTTGTAAGGTAATTTTGATGTGCTGTCAGGCCTGAAATATCACAATTCATATTTGCAAATTTAAGGCCCTGAGAAGTCTTACTTTGTTTATTTTTGTTTATTCTGTATTTTTGATTTTCTGTTAATATCTGGTCATATATTATAGAACTAATGTTTCTTGAAACACACCTTGGGAGATGTTATTCTATCATGTACATAAAATTTGAATTACTTTTGCAGTAACCTAGGATTAGTTTTAAGGATACAAAAATGATCATATTTCTTTCTAGATCTTCAAATTTTTATTTCCTTCTTTCCTATACATACTTTGTTCACAATCTCCTTTATAAGTTTTGTATGGGTTAAGACATATATATTGTTAGATTCTGATGTGTTTCAGGACTACTCTTGCATATATTCTGAAGCAGTTGGTGCCTAAAACTTAGTCAATGAAATAAATGGTTCAAAAGAGTAGCCCTAGATTATTATCCTCTGAATTATTTCTGCAAATCATTACTCCAAAGTCCTATGAGGAAGGTGATTCAGGAGTTGCAGGAAGTGAAAAAACACAAAACTTAGAAGTTTGAATTGAACATAAACTCAGTATAAATGTATGATATAGAGTGACTGTTCCAAATGCCAATTCAACACTATGCTTCAGAGAATAGAGGCGCTAGAGTGAGACTACAAGCTCTTCTTCCCTATTTTGGCTTGATCACACTCTACTCAGACACCACACGTTAAGAGAAACACAGACAGCTCGGTGTCATTTGGAGTAGAATAACCAGACCAGTGAGTGAACTAGAAATCCTGTTTCATGAAGAGTGGCAAAGGGCCTGGGGAACTTCAGTTTGAAAAATATGTGACTTAAAAAGGCATTAATGCCTTCTCTATATATTTGAAGACCTCATGTAAAAAAAAATTAAATATATTCTGTGTGACTTCAGAGTTTGGAAATAAAAGGAAATGGGTGCAAATTGAACAGAAAAAGAAAATCACCTTCATACTAGAAAACTCCCAAATAGGATTGGCCACATTTGAAATATGTTCTAAGACGTTGGCTTTAAGGGGAAGTATAGCTGGCTTGGTGGGGATGTTTTCAAGAAAGTCAGGTATCCAAGCATGGTTACACTATGTAATCTTGAAATTACCATTGAAACTAGAACTTCTTATATCATTTGATTTTTAACACCAATGGTTATGGAGTGGAACAACTATATAGTACTCTAAATTAAATACTAGAATTGTGGACAAGAAGAGGTTGAGAAGTAGTAGAAACAAAAAGAGCCTCTCCTAAGCTATCTAATTAGTTGTCTTGCCTAACTAGCAGGAAAACCCTGAAGCCCACAGACCCATGTATGTACCACATTCAGCACTATCTCAGTGTTCTGTGAGGACATGATGGCTTCTACATTTAGTTTCAACAAGGTCCATGGTAGAATCTGGTTGATTCATGAGAGCCTGGATGAATTCTTCCTTCCCTTTCTTCCTTCCAACTCTTCCTTTTCTTGCAATTATTTGATAAAAACCTGTGTGGTCACCAAGGTGTAGGTATGGTTTCTAACCTCACAGTTTATAGCCATTTATCCCCCAAATAAGTTTCAAATATGTGATAAGAACACAAAATTCACTGTATATGGCTGCTGTCTTGAACTAGCTGGCCATCATTTGGGGAAAGAGGAATGAAGAGTCCTCATAAAGAAAGAAATATCACACAGGGCAAGTACTATGGGGCTATGAAAGAGCAAGGCTCTGAATTTCTCATAAAGCATCTAAGAAGACTTCTCAGCATTGTTGACAGATGAATGGGAGTTTATTAGGCAAATAAGATGGAAGAATATTCCAATCAAAGGAAACACCAAACACAAAGGCATGGAAGTAAATAATAATAGATCTTGTTTGTGGAGTGTTAAGATGTTTGATTTCATGGCTGCTTCGCATGCACAGGGGAGCACAGAAGAGATGAAGGTGCAGAAATTATATGAGCCATATTGTGACAGGCCTAGTGAGTCAAACCAGGAGGTGTGGACTCGATTCTCTAACCAGTGATGAGTCCATGGAGAAGGCTTTTATGGAGGAGAGAGACAAGAGAAGAGTTTGGTTTATTTCTGGAGTTATTACCAAAATACAATGTCTAGGAAGTCTTTGAGTCATGAGTGATGGCATGAAGAGACCATTTTAGAAATTGTTAAAACAGTCCAAGAGAAAGAAAGTGGAGCTCTTCTCTAAAATTGAGCTCTGCGGATGGAGTGACAGGTATGTAACTGAGATAAAATCCATGGTACATGATCTTTAATTTAAGGTGAAAGGCTGGAGGATGACAGGCTTTAATAATGACTACAGGTTTTCTAGATTGGTAACTAGCTGTCTGATGATCCTGTTATCTGAACAAAGTTGAAAGGGTTACTCTCTTAAAAATCCAAGTTGATATGTGGTGAGCAGTTGGAAACCTGGGTCTGATCCTCTAGAGTAGTATTGAAGCTGGGACTGAAGATAGGGCTTGGAATTCCTAATCACTGGTGTAAAGATGAATGACAGCTCAAATCAAGCAATGGGTTGCACACACATGGAAATGACATGGAGCAAGGGCCAGGGTGAGGCAACCCTGAGATATATCATCATTTAAGAGGCAAGTAGAAGATAAGAAAGGAGTAGACAGGAAGGAAGGAAGAAGAAAACACAGGATTTGATTTTGCTAGAGGAAGGAGTATTATTAATAACAAGGTAGCTGAGGATAAATCCTTTAATAGAACAAATATTGACGAAATGTCATAGGTTTTGACAATTGAAACAGTTGCAATCAAGTGTTTGGTGCAGAAGACAAGCCTAAAGAGTGATAAAAGGTAAAGGAGAAGAATCTGGATGTTCATGGTAAGGGAAGAGTGGGAGATGAGAAAGTACTGTGAGGAGAACATTGTGTTTTTCATATTTTGAGAGTATGTTTATATGTCTGAGGTTGACTGGGCCAAGCATTTTGTGCATGCTAGCAAATAGATGAAAAACTAACTCTATTGGCCAATTATATGCTCTTGAGCAATCAGCCTTTTTAAAATCAATATCTATGGTCATGTCTGTATTAAGAAATAATTGGTTTTCATTAGTATTAATGGCTAAATGCCATTTCATACTATGACTGTATTATAATTTAACCATTTTCCTGCTATTGGGTATTTTTATTATATCTAAAAATTTGCATTTCTAATGCAAATACCAACTGGTGTGTATGTATGTGTGTATTTTAATTAGAAAAACCTAGTCTGGATAGATTTTAGCTTAAATTTATTGAATTTTTACTATGTACTGTACTAAGTTTCAGGTATTGTCCTAAGCTTTCTTCTTATATAACCACTGAGTACTCCCAATATGTACCTATGAGATAGGTGCTCTGTATGATTATGTACATCTGAAAATTGAGTAAACTAAGACTTAGAAAACTTTAACCCAATCTCACACGTCTGTTTAGGTAACAACAGAATTTGAACCTAGAATGCTAATGATAGATTATAATACTTCTCAAGAAAGGATAAGGACATTTTAAAAGACAGTGGTAATAAGAGGAAAGAATTAAGACATTTGTAGTTGGAGGGAACATTATTAGGGAACTCATTGAATTTGGAAGGTCAAGTAGAGGTCAGTTCTGAATACCAGTGTGGGGTTCAGGAAATGTCTATGGCTTCACTGCACCAAGTGACAAGACTACCTGCTACCCATGCCCCCAATGATGTTTACTTGAAGTGCATATTAAGCACCCCTTGGTGTAGAGGGTTAGGGGGAAAAGGGGGAAGATGGACTTCTCAATTTTCAGCGCACCCATTT